ATCTGTAGTATTCATATTTTTGAACACTTTGTGGAGTCTCATAGTTCTCTAAGCACTGTTCTGCTTTCTGCCTCTTCTTTTCTGCCTCTTTACATGGGTTAACATGAAAACTTTGTCCTCTAACTCTGAGGTTCTTTCTTTTCCATGGTCTAATCTATTTTTGATACTTTCCACTGCATCTGTACATTCTCTGATCATTTCCTTCAGCTCTGCCATATCCTTTCTTTATTCTGTGTCTCTCGTTTGACTTTTGGTTATGTCTTTCCATTTTCTCATCCATTCCTTTTATTGTCTTTATTATCTATATTTTGAATTCCCTTTCTGTAAAATCCATTAATTTTTTATAGGTGGAATCTTCTGTTCCATTTTTCCCCCAAAATATGACACTGTCTTATATTTATTTTTTCTCAAGAAGACACACTAGGGCTTATTTTCAGGGGATGTCTTCTCTCTGTGCTGAAATGCATGGTGTGGCTATGCAGCATATCTACAGACCCATCACTAGGTCTTATTATTGGGGTAGGGCTTATATTTAACAAATGCATAGAAATCCTGCTAGGGCTTATTTTTGGGGTAGGTCTTATTTTTGGGGAAACATGGTAGTAGCTGCCTCATGGTCCCTTGGGGAGTTCCGCTATTTTGGTTTTTCATGTTGCAGAAGTTTTACTGTTGTTTCCTCCTCATGTAGTCTTTCTTCTTGTTCACTTCCTTGTCCTTTTTCCTTCTTGCTTCCTCCTTTGCTTCAAATTACCTTGTCTCAGAGCTAATGAGGCAGATTTCCACTGGATCATAGGCTGGTCTGGATCATAGGCTGTATCTAGCTCACCATCTCCTCACTGTGCTCCCTGAGCTACAACTGCGGGTAAGATCCCCACACCAAGTATGGCTGGGTTCTCTCTTTTTCCCCGGTCATACTAGGAGAGCTCAGCTGAAGGATCCTTTAGTTCCACCATCTTGCTTCACCCCTATTTATATAATTTTTATATCAGAAAGGATGAGCCAGCCACCAAAATTGGAAAATAGACTTTTGTATTTAGAATTGGAGATTGTTTACCTCTAGCATATCCTGATTGAAAGCAACTCAGTTACAACCTAGAAAAATATCCACATTAATATTAATAATTGTACGCATCAAAACAGATAATTAAAACAATTGCAGATATTAGTGTGATGTTTGTTTTACAAAGAAGTAAACTTCTTAAACTTTTCAGTGATACTGGCAAAATTCTGGCCACTCTCCTTAGGCTGCTGGGATATCATCACACACTCACTGCAGGGAGTCATTGAGCAGACCATTGTAAGTGAAAAATTAAAGAAATAATAAATTGAGCAGACCATTGTAAGTGAAAAATTAAAGAAATAATAAATAATGAGTTAGAAGATTTTTAAAAAGATGGCTTGCCTAATTATCCAGTAATAATGGCAAATAATATTAAGATCTCTTTAGTTACTTAGGTGGGGAAGAGAGCAAATACTCATCCTGTCCTAGAGAATAAAATGGGTTCTTCTAATATAATCCAAACAGAATTTGCTTATGCTGAGGGTAATTAGTTAAGCTGCTTAGCCCCCATGGTTATAACAGATACTGATGGATTATTCCACTGAATTAATTTAAATATAGCTTGAGAGATAGGCTGGTAGCATTAAGAGATTGCTTTCTCACTGCCTAACCTGGGTAGTATTTGAGCATTTTAAGAGGCTGCTTGTTATGACAGAAGAAAGCATCAATTGTTGGAAGGTCTGCAAATATCCCCTTGTTACACAGCCCTGGTTTATGTCAAAACATGAATCCCATGTAAATTCAAGTGAAAAAACCACTCCCCAGTCCTGAAAGAGCCCTTCTAGAAATATCATAGTTCCTTTTAAAACACAGACTATTTTTTCAAGTAGGAACATAATAGAAAGACCTATATTAAAATCTGTTTTCCTACTGACTATTTATGAAATGCTACTTCTAGAAGCTTAGGGTAAATTTTTGTCTTTCTCTTGGCAACGAGACCTAATTATAAAATTATGTTCTGGTCATTCTGGTAGTGTTTTGTCTTTTGCTTCCTTAGAATGTGCAACATAGGAAAAGAAACTTAAAAGTGATAGCGTGATATTGAGAAGAGAGAAAGTATCAAATGCTACTTCAGAACACCTCGTCACTTTCCAATTTGGGGGATAGAGGAAGAAGATTGGATATGCTAATCTAATTGAATTTCTTTGCCAGCAGTACTTGAAGCAATTCCAACAAGATGTAAATTGCATCTGTGTTTAAACATTCTTCAACCATCCTCACACACCTTAAATTTCACTTAACTCTAACCTGCCTAGTTAAGAATTTCTCCTTCATCATTAAGAAATCATTTGAGCTACTTTATAAGACACTGTTCTTCAGTTTTGACCTAGCTGGTCATCACCATCTTCATCTTTAAATAGGTTCTGTCCATCTTCTAATGTAACAGACTTAACGGTAGACAAGTTTGGCCTTTTTGTATTTTTAAATCTTTATTAAGGAGATAGAACTAAATAAATTGGCTTTTGATTATTTGGTGGACATTTTCGCACTAAATATTGTCCAAGTGTCTATCCCAGGTGCAAAGTGAATCTGAAAGTAATGCTGTTTCTACTGAAGGCACATGTGGTGCACCTGCCCGCCCTAGTCTGCAATGATGAGTCAGGCAGGGCCCACAAGGGGCCATTTGTTCTGTGCTTTCCTGAGTATAAGTAGTGATGTTGACAGTCTCCACCCAGAGAAAGAGAAGGTGCTAGCTGGAAATACAGCAAGTAAACTGGATTCTGTACTGGCTGTTCTTCAACCCTTATTATTATTATTTTTTTTAATGCTGGAGATTTAAAAACAGTCAATTCTTGAAAAACAGTCAATTCTCAGAATACCTTTTTCAAAATAATTTTTGTCTTTTTAAGTCATCATCGTTGTCTTCTCCTCCTCCTCTCCTCCTCTTCCTCCTCTCCTCCTTCTCCTCCTCCTCCT